GAAATTCTTCGAATTCAAACAAAAGGTAGAACTAAATATCTAATTGATTTTATTTAACTTTTCGATTTTGCGACTTAGCTTGGGGAGAGCTGTGGAGGAGGGAGGGCGAGTTGAAATCATTTGAGATAAATGTACGGCGTATTTTGCTCTCGCTTAGTGGCTTGACGCAAGTACCGATCAGCATTGAACACCACGGTAAATCCACAACTGCCTTGTAAATCAATAAAGAGTCGGTAAAGGGCAAGTTCAATTGTTCTCCGTTATAAGAATTATTTATGCAACACAGATCACCATTTTTCTTCCATATATACAGCCGCAGGAGCGAGAATCGAGCAAGTCGCTAACGTGAGCTGCCTCAAAGCGTGTTCAGCCGTACGTTTCAATTTGAGAAGGGAAGAGAATTCCGGTGCACACCCATTTTCACATTGCTGAGAGCTGTTTTGGTAAAAGCGCGGACCATGCAGCGATACAAAACTCCAATGGTCACACACTATGGTGAAAAATTATTTAAGAGAGATTAGCAAATTGCGCCCAATAATCATGAAAGTTTCAAGTTCACTGGGGCTGGTTTCAACTTTAAGAAAAGCAGATTGTTTCTGTAGTTATGGGTCTTTGAGTCATCTACTAGCATGAAAATGAGATGTACATCGAATTTTGAGCGTAAATGCCTTTTGCTACATCCTTCTTCCTGCCGCCCATTCGCAGACAAATTTAACTTGCGTAACAAAAAGCAAAGATGGAGTTTGCTTAGAAGTTCCCAATGGCTAAAGAGTGTATTCTTCGCCTTACTCTCTCTCCGTTGTTAGATGCTTGTCTATAATATTGCAATATTGCAGGAAACCGAGCGACTTCGTCACTGTGATCCCAGAAATTTGTGAAAACAAAACGGAAAACTACACATCATGTACTCGAACACAACGTGACCATGATGTCACGACAAGACTCAACCGATCGTCACAATCACAAACCACCTTAGGCTATTCTTGTCTTTATGACTACATACATCCAAAACCAGCTTCCATTAGGCGGCCGAGTCTGTACAAAGGACTGAACAGAAGTTTAGTAGAAAAAAGATTTGATACAATATCGGCCAAGTACCCAATACTACAATGGCCTAAACTCGTCAACGAAAAATTTATTCTTGTAAGCTTTGGATCGCTTGCACAGGTGAGAAGCTTCCTGAGAAGACTTCACTAAAAGCTTCAATTTGCTTTTTTTTCTTGTTTAGGCTCAATATATGCCTCTAAATCTCGCTCGGAAGCTTCTCTATGCCTTCTCACAAACTCCCTACAAAGTCATTTGGGCAACAAATTCTTTTCCCAAGTCACTCAAGTGGGCAAAAAAATTAAGG